CTCTATGCTATAATTAGATTGTTGTTGTCGTTGTGTGAAATTTAAATTTCTCCTGCGACATTTTGATTGGATACTAAATATAAACTTTGCTGTGGGCGGAAAGCGATCAGGTTAAGTTTTGTGTCAGGCTCTATTTGTAAAATAGAGCCTGATACTCAGGTTACTTTCACACTTCACAGTGAAACATTTTCGCAGTTTCGCTAATTCCTAGAAAATACTTCCATTTTTACTTCCGTTTAGCCTGCTCGCAAGCTAACTTCCGGTCATTGTTACTTCCGCCATTTACCTCGATTGACAAAATTTTGCAACCCAGGGCCGAGATCAACCCGGGGTACAGTAATGGGGTTGAAATTTTTGTGGTCGCGCGTTTGATTTTGATAGAGTTTTGTATTACAGACAGGGCTGAAATTTCAACCAGGACAACAGGGCAGAGTTCAACCCCGAGGTTGAAAATTCTCCGGAATGTAATCGGCCCTAGCTATCCTTATACTGTGTTGCCGGCCATTGTTCACTACCGTTACAACAATCCTAACGGTTACCCTAAACGTTAAACCTACCCCCTATCCTATATATAAACACTAAATATATAAAGCTAACTCTGACTCTCTGAGTTTTATTGCATTACTGATTTATTGCATTAACGATTGTGCCTATCTTGACAGCGGACAACCTCTGGCCTCGTCCATCCTTTTAGCCATTACCATTTTCTTACATCTTCTTACTGCCCAAGGCGTAAATCCTCTATGACTATCAGTGGTGCCTAAATTACTTTGAATTTGTACTCGAGTAAAAGTAGAAGTAATTACTGGGGTAACAAAAAACGACTTGAGTAAGAGTAAAAGTACTGGAAGCAAAACGTCCTTAAGTAAAAAGTACAAAGTATCCTTAAAGAATACTTGAAGTACAAAGTAAAATACTATTGTCTGTAGCGTGTAAAGGGGGAGGAGGACTTCTCCAATGGATTGACATACAGCACACGCAGATATGCGTGCACCGAATATACCGGCAATATTTCACGGCATGGTCTACTTTCCAGACCCCGTTAAAGATATAAGAAATCCATTAAATAAATAATGCTTATAAGTAAGTCACAAACGAGAGATCCCAGACGCATGTAGAGGTCGTATTACCCATCCCGAAATTAAAATCAATCTGAAATAAATCACGTAAAATTAAACAAAAGTTAGAAAGTAACGAAATACGCCACAAAATGAAAATAACAAAGTAAAATGTTAATTCTTAAAATGACTTCGTTCCAAGTAAAAGTACTCCAGAAACAGGTTTACTTTATATATGTTACATGCTCACTTCTCAAAAATAGTACTCAAGTACAGTAACGATCGCGAATTGAAGTACATTTACTTCGTTACTTGACACCACTGATGACTATGAAGTCCCCAACCTCGTACCCGGGGCCAGTCGCGAGTTGAAGGCAGCGACAGCGACGACATGGCCCGCCTTCAATTGCGGCTAGCCCTGGGTACGAGGTTGTGAAGTCCCCTGTTAAATAATGAAACTCTCTCTCTATTAAAATGCCACTTTTAGAATGAAGAGGTATTAAACACGCCCCCTCGAATCCTAGATCACAATGTAGCTCAAGCTCTGTGGCACTTCCCTGCCACTAGTAAAGAAAGTTATCAAGCAAAGCTTGTAAATAAATTGTAAATAAATAAACAATGATATGCATGGATACGATCGCAAGTTGGATTTTGCGTGGACGTTTTCGCTAGTTTCAGGCAGTTTACTGCGTTTCTAATTTTCTTACTTACTGCATATGTTTTAAGTTCTTTGTACGTTTGCATGGCGATAAAACATATAATAGTTTTGTTTGTGGAAACACCACGTAAATTTATTATTGCAAAGCTTTCGATCCGAAAGCCCGGATCTTCATCAGTGCTAATAATTGTCTAAATCGATAAATCCAGTGACCTCACTATTCAGGGCTGGACTCCTCTCTTCAATAAGCAACCGCTCCCCAACTGTGTACTAAAAGGCGCCTCAAATCATAAAATATGACTCCCAAGATTCATATTTGACTTCATGAATGCACTATAGTGACCGGCAACCACTACCTCTCACTGACTTGGTACGCATCTGTTGGTGGTCCCTGATTAATTGTAGCGGTAGCGGAAGTCAAATCTGAACTTCCCCATTAGAAGACGTAACCCCATTCTCAACCCTTATCCTTTAAGCCAGTAAGCCTCATCCTAACCAGTGATCCTAACCAATACTAGTAACGTACGTAACGTACTTGGTGAGGCCAATGGCTATATCCCCCAACAGTAGAAGCCCCCCTTAGTAGTGGCTAAGTTGCACCCC